CTATTATGCTTCAGACCAGAGGTAAATGGCACTGTCTCTAAGGGAAGCCTTTCCAGAACCCCCACCCTGTAGGCACAATAGCTGCTGTCTGCTCTACAAGTATACAGACTTCCATCCTAAGACTGTCTCTCTCACCATACCAACTCCTGATGATTCTCTCCATCTTGGTCACCCCAGTGCCTTAGGAACTGTTTCACCAAACCATAAAGGGTTAACGAACATCTCCTATCTATAAAGAGCTTCTAAACATCAAAAACAGTCTAGGAAAGCCAGGCATGATGGTACACCCTCTAATTCTAGCACTAGGTAGGCTGAGGCAGGATGATCATATATTCAAGACCATCCTGGGCTACATAATGATACCCTGTCTAACAAATAAACAACAAACAAACAAAAAGGAACAGACTAACAATCCAATAGAAAGGCAAAAATGTGAACAAACATTTTATAGAAAGAGAAATACAAATGGTTCTTAAACACAAGAGAAAAAGAAAGCTTAACTAAAATACCATCTTCACCATCAGCTTGACCCAAAAAAATGAATAAATAAATAAATATATATATATTTATATATATAAAATAAATATATATAATATATATAGGACACAGGGGTGTGTGTGTGTGTGTGTGTGTGTGTGTGTGTGTGTGTGTGTGTGTGTTAGAGACTACTGCGGGCCAGACTGTGGGAACAAAACTGCACACAGCAACATCCAACAAGATAACACTCATTTCCCTTCTATCCAAGCCTACCCCAGGCACAAACACCCTGAGTAATGGGGGGGGGCACTCTGCTACCACTGCCATGGGCTACAGGCAGAAACAGGAAACACCTGAAAGGTCCAGTACATAAGAGGCAAGGGCTGGATCAACTGTGCTGCACTAAGACCTGCACCATACAACTGCACCAGGATGAAGAAGCTCTCTAACAAGCTGCAACAAGGTCCTCAGAGCAGTAAGGAGCAAGAATGGTGAGTAACTCCCTCTGCCACAGGAAGACATGACGGGGAGGGTGAACAGAAACAAGCAGTCTTAAATTCTCAAGAAGAAATAAACAAAAATATAAAATAATACAGGTGATTAAGTGGTCACTGGAGTGGGAAAGAAAGGATAGAAACTGAGACAATGCCATGTCTCTAGCTACAAAGGACTCTCAAGGGGTCGCTTCAGCAGCAATACTGGCGAGAACTGGCTTCAATTTCTTGCTCAACTGGCCAAGTCCACATGTGTTCACAGACCATCTATTTAGTCTACACAGAGGCCCTCTCAAGGCAGCCACGGCAAACATTTCCACTCAGCAGAAGAAAGGGCAAACAACGCAGTACCTGTGAAGTGCCCACAAGAAGCCAGAAAGCCTTCATGTCAGCCTTGCCATCCTGTGAAGATGCTAAGGAAGAAATTGAGTCCAAGGGAAACACTTCCATCTAGAGAGAAGGAACAGCTGTGGGCCCTGACCCTGGATCTGTCCTATCAATCCGTGTGCCTCCATTACAGTCTGTGTGGAGGTGGGATGGGAATATGTTTTGAGTAGAGTTACCTTCATTATTTTTGCTTTCATGGGTTCAGGAAAAAATAAATAAACTATCATCCTACTGTTCCTGGAGGAGAATGTATATACACAGAGACACAGCCCAGCTGCACCACACATCAAGTGACAAACCTGGACCACCAGCAGTTGGAGGGACATTCTAAGACACGTGGTACTATGGATCAGCCACAGTGGAAAGGATTCATCTGGAGTCCACAGAGTATGGTCTGTCCCCCTAAAGCTGTGGAATGAAGCTGCTGAGTTTCAGCAAATATTTACTGAGCACTCAACATGCCAAGCACTGCTGGGAACACTGTGACGGAAGGGACAGGTCTTAGGAAAGCTGCACTGGAGCAAAGGGATAGTTCACAAAGCATAAAGTACCACAGAACCAGCTCTGGAACACTCAGAAAAGGTGTGGGTTAAAGATAAACCAAAACACGCTGTGGTGTAGTCAACTCAGCTCTTTCAACTTCTGTATCTGTTTGGAATGCTTCATAAAGTATGTTCAAGTGCCAGAGAGAGTCAGAGGTCAAGAAGCCTAAAGCATGCACACATGATTAATGATCCTCCATCATTCTCTAAAACACAGCACAGAGAGCTGGAGAGATGGCTCAGAGGTTAAGAGCACTAACTATACTTCCAGAGGTCCTGAGTTCAATTCCCAGCACCCACATGGTGGCTCAAAACCATCTATAATGAGATCTGGCACCCTCTTCTGTGTACATAATAAATAAATAAATCTTTAAAAAAAAAAAAAACAGCACAGAGACCTCTTAAGAAAGTGCTTTTCAGGGTCCCATGGAGTGCCACTGTCATGTTCAAAGAGTGGAAGCTGGGACCCTGATCTCACTCCTTTTAAGGCCTCAGTTATAAATAAAGCACCAAGCTAAACAGCTCAACTCTTAGGCACTCTTCTGTATGGAGAGGTTGCTTCTCATTTAGTTGCCACACCCAGGGTCCAGCCACTGCTCAGACTCTCAGATAACATCCTTTCAACATTCTTTTCAAATGTGTGCATGCAGAGGATAATGCAATACAACAATCACTTAAGAACCTGCTTCCCGCCAGGCGGTGGTAGCGCATGCCTTTAATCCCAGCACTTGGGAGGCAGAGGCAGGCGGATGTCTGTGAGTTTGAGGCCAGCCTGGGCTACAGAATGAGTTCCAGGAAAGGCACAAAGCTACACAGAGAAAAAAAAAGAAAAGAACCTGCTTCCCAAACAACAATACCTGACTAGGTCTCCTTCCTGTTTTATTTCTCCATATATTATTTGAGTTCATTCAAATACTGATGGACACTGACATAATTAAGAATGTATCTATGAGAAACTGACAGTATTCATACATCAAATGGTTTGACTGTCCAGCTAAAACAGATCCTATTTATATCAAAAACTTCAACTAACTGATTAGACAAACTTAATTTCCAACACAAAATTTAAAAGTTTAAACAAAGGGGAACAGAGCAAAGCTGTTCCATATAATGTGCATATTATTACACTATTAGGGAATTTAAATCCTATGTTTCTACAAGTCATGCCTTTTTGTAGGCTTGTTCCTTGTTATGGCAAGGCATGACAGTGTAGAGATTGCTCCATCATATATTCTTGCTGAGGCCATTTTAGGTTTAACTAGAATATGATCTCCTTGATGGAATCTTGTGGAAAATTACTTAACTCTAGTCTAGGAACCCAAGGTCAAGATGCCCCAGCTAACTAATCTTAGCTTCTATTAAACTGCTGCATGTACAAACCTCCCCCTCCAGTTGACTACTTAGCTTCTGTTACACTGCTTGCTTGCACAAAACCTCCCCCTGCAGCTGCTGAGTGAGATACCAGAGTGTGGTTTTTACCTTTAAACACCCCTTACTCAGCCAGGCTGTGGTGGTGGCGCACGCCTTTAATCCCAGCACTCAGGAGGCAGAGGTAGGTGGATCTCTGTGAGTTTGAGGCCAGCTCTTCCAGGAAGAGCTTCAAAGCTACACAGAGAAACCCTGTCTCAAAAAAAAAAAACAAAACAAAAACAAAACTCACTCAGCCGGGCTATGATGGCAGACTCTTTAATCCCAGCACTCAGGAGGCAGAGGCAGGTGGATCTCTCAGTTCAAGGCCATCCTGGTTTACAGAGTGAGTTTCAGGACAGAGTTACATAGAGAAACCCTGTCTTGGGGTAGGGGGTAACTCAGCAACCTTACCCCTGATTAGATCTGAAACCTGGGCCAAAGAAAAACACCCTGACCCTGACTTGACCCCAAGACCAGGGTTTGAAATCCAACCAATCCCTGAGCACAGAATCCCACAAATTCCTGAGCTTGCCCCAGAATAATACCACAAAAATCCCAAGTCACCCTGAAAAGTTCCATCCCCCAAAAGAAACCCTATATAAGCTCTGTACCATGTTTGGTTTGCTACTGCTTCTCACCCTAGAGGCAGCCACCCTCCTGGATTCTTCCTTCCCAATGAATCTCTTGAGTAAGGTTTGTTATGCAGTGTGACATTTTTGCTCAGCTGTAACAACTTTTGCTGGAGCTGGTGTAGAGCTGTAGAGCGAAGTGAAACAGAACTGTAACACTTTTGTCAGGGAATCTTTCCCCCAGCAAAGCAGAGTTGTTACACTCCAGGGGACCTAAGCAGAGCTGTAACACTTCTCTGGAGCAGAGCTGTAACACTTCTCTGGAGCAAAGCTGTAACACTTCTCTGGGAAAACCCTCCCCTGCTGGAGCAGAGTTGTTACATTTGCATTGGGAACCTTTCACTGGAGCAGAGCCATAAGCTGCTACACTTACAGTGACTCTGGTATTCCTCTGGTCCAGACTGCCAGGATACCTTTCCATCTGAGCTGCAATGCTTACACTTACTCTAAAAACTTGGGTCCTCAATACCTGAGTGTAGTACCAGCCAGCTGGAATAAAAGACTTCCAATTGGCTGTAAACTGTGTCCTGAATGGTAGTCTCTCCTGGGCTCCTCTTAATATTTTGGAGGCCCCAGCGAGATCTCCAGAGACAACCCCCCTCCCCCAACACTTAGGAGCAGCAGTAACCCCAGGAATGGAGGAAGAGTACACTGGCTGGTGAGGACTCATAGGGGGCAACCTAAAACGTCCCAGGGCCCCCAAAATATCCTGACTAACCGTCATCAAGTGCTCCAGAGGCACCAAGCTGACATCCCCAAAGGGGGGGGGGGGAGGAAACAGTAAATCAAAAGTCACCTGGTCTGAACGCCTCCAGAGGTAAGTATGGTCTATAGGAAACACCATCTGGTTAGGACACAAGAGGGGAAGTCAGAAGCAACCTTAGATCCTATGTCTTTCTGTGTGTTTCTGTCAGTTCTATCAGTTGGAGAAACAGATCTAAAATGGAAAGGACAGGGAGCCCAAGAGCAGAACTGCTGTGGCACTCCCCGCTTCCTGCTGGCAGCCTGCTGCTGCTGTTGCTATGGCTACACTGGTATTCTGAGCAAGCCATCAGTTTCCCTGTAATAACAAAAGCTTTCTCTGGTATGAGACATCCCACACACACCACACTCCACACACCTACAACCCCAGCTTAAGACCTATGGCCTCTTGTTGGGGATCAGAATCTTTTTGGCTTGGCCAAGTCACATAGAGAAATCCAAAACCTCCCCCTGCAGAGGAAATTGACCTTCCCTGTCCTCTTGCTCTGGAGCACTAGCCTTTGGCTTGTTTAGTCCCTTGACTCTGCTCAAGGTCCTGGAATCCTGGTCCTGTTCCCTCTGTGAAGGTGAGGAAGGGCCCAACCTCTCCCATGGGAGGTAGGGAGCACTGCCTTCTAAGCAGAGTGAATGCAGGAAGGAGGAAATAGTTTCCTGAGGAGAATTTTCTTTCTTTCTCTCTCTCTCTCTCTCTCTCTCTCTCTCTCTCTCTCTCTCTCTCTCTCTCTCATTCTCTCTCTCTCTTCCCTCCCCTGCTTGCCTGCTTGCTCTAAGCACCTGGTTTCACTAGGAGAAGGGGGAAGCAATTCCCCCAAGCGGGCAGGGGAGGGGGAGTGGAAGTTCAACTACTTCCCTGTTCATGGTTTATGATGTTTCCTTATCTACCAGTGACTCACTTGTATGATTGGAAGATCCAAAACCCTCCATTTCTTCAGAGAGGCCACAGTCCCTTATCAGCTGCTTTAAGAGGGTGTTGGATGCTTTTTTTGCCAAATATTGGGAAGATTAAAAGCAGCAGACAAAAAACTACGAACTTACCCAAGGTAAGTCAAGTTACTCAAGGACCTGATGAATCATCTGCTGGGTTTTTCTCTGTGAGATTAATGGGGTATTTACTCTCATAGACCCAGATGCCACCAAAAACCAGCGAGCCACTAATATGCCCTTTGTCATGCAGCTGGCCCCAAGAAAAAAGCTCCAGAAATAAGAAAGGTTTGCAGGCTGGAGAGATGGCTCAGCAGTTAAGAGCACTGGCTGCTCTTCCAGAGGACACGGTTCAATTCCCAGCACGCACATGGCAGCTCACAAACTGTCTGTACTCCAGCTCCAAGTGATTTGACACCCTCACACAGACATATATGTAAGCAAAACACCAATGCACATAAAATAAAATCATTAAAAAAAGAGAGGTTTGAAAGGATGAATAGATTTCAACTTTTGAAAACTGCTCAGAAAGTTTATAACAGCCAAGATTCAGCTGAAGACAGACAGGGAAAGAAACTGCCATGTGGTGATCGCTGCTTAGACCATGAGAAAGGGTTCAAAAACTTACCAACATTGTTTTTTGAAGCCCTGAGTGCAGATCTGTTGGAATTCAGGCAACAAGTCTACAAAGCACCCTTCTCCAGTATGTAGATAACCTCTTCATAGCTTCAAACACTGAGGATGAATGCAGAAAGGTGACAGAAGCCCTTTTAGAAACCCTCCAAGTCCTGGAGTACAGAATGTGAGCCAAGAAGGCTCAACTGTGAAGTCCCTCAGATCACATACCTAGGCTACAACCTAGAGGATAAGTGGACAATTTCCCATGATTGTATTTCAGCTATCCTGCATATCCCTGCTCCCACATTGAAGAAAAAAAAAGATTTTCTGAAGGCAGTTGGATACTGCAGGATATGGATAATGGGATTTATTGAAACAGCCAAGCCCCTCTATGGCAATACCAGGGGTATACAGCCTTTGGAACGAACTGACATTAATCAGAGGAACTCTGAAGCCTTAAAAAAGACCCTGGTATCTGTCTCAACCCTGGCCCTCCCACACATCCACTTGTATGTGGATGAGGCCAGAGGCATTGCCTAAAGGGTCCTCATATAAACCCTGGGACCCTGGAAAAGACCAGTGGTATATCTTTCCAAGAGACTTGACCCAGTCACAGCTGGATGTCTGTATATAAGGTCCATAGCTACCACCACCCTGCTGGTAAAAGCAGCTGACAAATTAACTTTTAGGGTACTAACTGTTCTGACAGCCCCACACTCTGTTGAGGCCTTCTTGAGGGGGCACCTGAGAGATATATATCTAACACCCAGGTGACCCAATACCAAGCCCTGCTTCTCAAATCAAGCCAGAATTTGGTTTGACAAGACATCACCCCAGCCAGTCTCCTGCTGGATGATGGCCCTGAAGAACTCCTGAATGACTATCTTGAAGTGACTGACCTAATCTAGTCCATCAGGACTGATCTGACTGATGCCCTGCTAGTGACACCACACAAGGTATTGTTTACAGACAGAAGCAGTTTCATCCAAGACAGATCAGGTATAAATCTTTAAGCAGGGGAACCTCAGCTCAATGAGTGGAGCTTTTAGCTTTGATTCAAGCATTCTACTGGAGGAAAGACCAGGCTATCACCATATACACTGACAGACAATATGCTTTTGCCATGGCTCATGTCCATGGGACTCTACACAAGGAAAAGAGATGTGCTAACCCAAGCAGGAAAAGAAATCGAAAATAGAGAAGAAATCTTAGCCCTAATGCTAGCTATCTGGTTACCTAAAAGGGTGGCCGTTGTTCACTGCAAAGGAAAGGACACCAAAACAGATTCCCAGAAGCCCGAGGCAACTGAGTAGCTAACTTGGCCACCCAGGAAGTGGCCCTAGAACCAGTGGGGCCTCTCAAAGGATAAACAAGGATGGTGGTTGCTGCTGGACGGCAGACCATCCTTCTCTCAAGTCTAGGAAGACAACTAGTTATGGATCTCCACCAAGCCATCCACCTAGGGGCCATGAAAACTGAACTCTCAGATGCAAGTATTATGTTGCAAATTCAGAAAGCCTGATTAAAACACCACTTTTAGATGTGCTTTAGATGTGCTACCTGTGCTCAGATAAACATGAAAGGAGAAAGGAAGACCCTAGATGGGATCCAGGCTCAAGAAAATGGGCCAGGGAAAATTGAGTGTTAGACTTTACTGAAATAAGGCCTACTGTTTTTGGCTATAAATATTTGCTGGTGTTTGTATACATCTTCTCAGGATTGGTATAGGCCTACACTACCAGAATACCAATAGTTACTAAAAAATTTCTTCAGGAAATAATCCCTAAATTTGGACTGCCTCTAGCTTCAGGGTCAAACAATGGTCTAGTCTTCATGGCCAAAGTGTTGCTGTGAGTTCAAGGCCAGCCTGGTCTACAGAGCTAATTCCAGGACAGTCAAGGCTACACAAAGAAACCCCATCTCAAAAAAAAAAAAAAAAAAAAATCTGACAAAGGTATTAAATATTAATTGGGAATTACATTGTGTATACAGGCCACAGAGTTCAGGTCAAATAGTAAGGATGAATAGAACTCTTAGGAGACTGACCACATTGATCCTGGAAAGTAGCAAAATAAAAAAAAAGTGTCACCTCCCCTTTGCTTAGGACCTGGTGTATTACTTACCTGGGGTGGGGCTTACTCCTTTTGAAATTATGTTTGGGAGACGACCTCCCATCCCCTCCCAAACTGCAAGAAATTCCCCAGACAGAAATATCTAAATCATTTTTCAAGCCCTTGCAGGCTTTGCAGGAAGCTCACTAGACCATTGACTGAACTATGGAGGGAATCCTATCCATCTCCTACCTCTGAACCCACCATCAGTTCCAGCCAGGAGAGTTGGTTTGGATATAGAGGATCCCTGTCCAGACCTTGGAACCTGTCTGGAAGGGACCCACCTAGTTATTCTCATCAACCCAACTGAAGTCTAACTAGTTGGTGGCATCCTTTGAGAGAAGAAAAAAAGCCACTGAGGACAGATGGACCATCACTTGGACCTTAAAGATAAGGCTGACCAGAGTTTACTACCCAGGATAAATACCATCATTCCCAAACCTGGACATGGGAACTCAGAAAAACTAGGGATGGAAAACCCTATCTTTCAAGTAGACCTCTGCTCTCTCATGTCCCTTCCAGGGATGGAACAATATGGGTGTAGGGGAGGGATGGGGAATCAGTAAATCAGATTGTGGGGAAGACTACCTAGAAATGAACCTTCAGGGATCACAGTTTTATGTGTGCCTTGCCAATGGTGAGTCGTTCTGCCATGGACAAGGTACCTGTGTCATTTTCTCAAGTTACCTGGCTTGCTTGTATTAACAGTTTGACTAAATGTGCCTCCTCCAACTCACTGGAAAATCATACTCCCAACTCTATGTATACAGGTCTATGTTATCTCCCAGGTATGTGCACATAATGGAGAAGAGAGGAGAACTCATATTGGCCTTGACTTAATGTTAATGACCCCAATTCTGGTCCCAATTCTAGTAGGGGCAGGAATAGCCAGTGCAACTGCCATAGGCACTTCAGCCTTAATTGTTGGAAACCAAAACTTTACAGAACTCAGTTCCCAGACAGACTTAGGCCTAGACCATTTAGAGAATTCTCTTTCCAGGCTGGAGAGCTAAGTTGACTCCCTTGCAGTGGTAGTCCTACAGAACTAAAGGAGGTTATACCTGCTTTTTATAAAATAGGGAGGACTTTGAATGGCCTTAGGAGAAACTTGCTGTTTCTATGCCAACCAATGAGGGTAACTAGGAAAAACCTTGCCACAGTCAGAGAAAACATAAAGGAAAGGGGGGGAAAAAGGAAGACAAAGATCAGATAATAAGTATCATAGACCATTGATTTTTTTTTTTGTCTTTTTTTTTTTTTCAAGACAGGGTTTATCTGTGTTGTTTTGGTGCCTGTCCTGGAACTCACTCTGTAGGACCAGGCTGGTCTTGAACTCACAGAGATCTGCCTGCTTCTGCCTCCCAAGTGCTAGGATTAAAGGCACGCACCAACACTGCCTGGTGACCATTCTTATACTGATCAAGCTAACAATGGGACCCTGCATCTTCAACTACAAGGCCAACTACATCAAACAGAATAAACAGTTAAGCTACCGGTCCTTAGGACCAACTATGTCCCCTTAGAACAGGACAAGTCAATAATTTGATTCATGCCCATAGAACTAGTTATAGTGGTATTTGCTCCACCCATGACCTTGAACTAAAGGGCTTGAAGGAGGCAGTGATTCCTGCCATTGTACATGACCACTTTTAAGAGAGGAGAGAAAGATCCGGTGGTCCCTTCTTCCTTTTATTTATTTTTTATCCTGGTGTGATCAGACTCCGGACAACCTGGGAATTGAACTGGTTCCTCTGGAACATCAGTGAGTGCTCTTAACACTGAGCCCCATGTTGGGCTCCACTTACTATGATCAATCCATGTGAGTCTATTAAATGGGTAACAGAATTTATTAAGATAGAAATTAAGGAAATACACTCACGAATACAGAACGGAGTAGACAGCTGAAGATGACCAGATAGAATCTACTTCACAGGCAGTAGCAGGGAGCAGGGGCATGTGACCCTTCTCCCTTCCCTTATAAGAGGTCACAACAGCAGGAAGCACCACTTCCTTCGGGCCCTATAGCCCAAGGTCATGGGCGGAGCAAATACCACAACTAGTGGAGAATGTGACCAGGCAAAACAGTGCAGCGGTTTCTCCATCTTGTATTCTTGCTAAAGCCATTTTAGGTTTAACTAGAATCTGATCTACTTGATGGAGAGCCCCAAGGAAAATTATCCAACTCTATTCTAGGAACCTAAGGTCAAGATGCCCCAGCTAACTTATCTTAGCTTCTGTTAAACTACCTGCTTATGCAAATTCTCTCCTTCAGCTAACTTCTTATCTCAGCTTTTGTTAAACTGCTTGCTTGTGCAAACCTCCCCTTGTAGATGCTGAGTGAGATACCGGGATGTGGTTTTTAAGTTTAAAAACCCCCTACTTTAAACACTCAACACTACACTTGGGTCCTGAATACCTAAGTATAGTCCTAGCCAGCTGGAATAAAGACCTTCAATTGCTTGTGTTTGAGTGGTCATCTCTGGTGGGTTACACTTGGATTCATCCTGCTTTAATCTACCAGGTCTGGTTGTGTTTTAGAAAGTTCCAGAAAAGAGGATAAGGACAGGCCTCTCTCCATCTCCTACAATAGTATACTACCCTCTAGAGCCAAACCCAGAACACTCACTACCAGGCTCCACTTCAGATCTTCACTGAAGGACAGCACCCTTGTTCTCTAGTATAAAATACTTGTCCCTGTGAGAAAACAATTTATGTGAACTAAAAATACTCCAAATTCACACACACACACACACACACACACACACACACACACACACAAACACACACATACAACAGAAGCCCTAATATCATCTTCACTCTGAATGCTGTTTTTCAC